AATCGTCATTTTGTAGAGCGTTTTTTACTGCATCTTTTCTTCATAGAGACAAATTTACAACCACTTGTTTCACTATAGAAAAATTTATTATTCAAATCGAGTCAGGACTTCTGGCCCACCCTTTATGTGCTGGAAACTTTAATTCAAATATATAATAAAGCCCTATCCAAAGGGCTATAGCTTCTTCCATAGTTCCCAGTTCGAGTAAAGCATTCCAATCAAAACATATTGGAATTTTTTCATCAGTGATTTTTATTGTTGGTTGTGGAGATGTTGGTTCCTAAGAGAGAAAAATCATGCGATGCTTTCAGTTACGCGCACAGTTCTCTCTTCTGGAAATTTTCGGGATTATGTAAGGTAACACTGGTAGGTAGCTGATTTTTACTGCATTTGTTGAAAGACTTTTGTGCATGTTTTTGAGAAGACAGACATACAAAAGGTGGAAGGAACCTCGAGTTCGCTTCGAAGCATGTAAAAACCTTCTTTCCAAAATCATTTTGCCGATCAAATCGAAATTTTTTCCATTATTCGAAGAGTAATATGAAAAATCTGAAGAAGTTCTTGCATACCTCAACATATAATCTACAGAACACAATAGCTCAAGCTATGGATCTTCTTTAAAAAAAGAATTTGTGTATTGATCCTTGGTTTCGCCTCGGTTGAATAAAGTCATTGGCTCTAAGTGAGATCGCAACGCATACAGATAGGAGAAAAAACAATAAAAGCTGCTAAAAGTCTCATCTTCGAAAAGAACACCTTTAGGAAGAAAGTGTCCTGCTTAACTCTCTGTTTATGTTTTGTGAAGAGCCGAAAAATACTAATTTGCATTTTTCAAGCTTAGAACCTGCTAAGATTTCACGGAAGAACGAAGTCTAGTGGCTGCATATCCCATTTTGCTGAGTAGACTGAGCTCTTCTTGCTATATACTGTAAGTTAATTTCGACAGGTTAATATACTTACAGTTGAAATACATAGTTTTTAAAACTTTCTTCAAATAATTGACATAATATTTTCAACAATCGAATTGGATGTGAATCTAATAAAAATGCAAAAATGATTTTTTTAAGTTTTACCTAAGCTGTTTCTTTCGTCTGCTTACTTACCGGTTAAAAACGATGTGGTAGACGATAGTATTTTTTCATATAAGCGTGATAATGTGGCTTTTGTAATATCTTCAAGATATAGACCGGACATCATTTGCAATTCGATAAAAACCTGAAGAGAAAATTCGAAAGTAATACAGTACACTTTAGAGTTATCAAGCAGTACATACAAATATCGGTTCTTTGTAAAATGGAAATTCATTAATTACATCAGAAGTTGGATGTTTTTGAACAAATGAATGACGATAAGCAATTGTTTGTCGCCATAATTCTAACGATGTATTAAAATTTTGTTTAACATTTTCTGATTGTTTTTTCATTTCATTAACACTTAATTGTAAATGTTCATCATTAGCATCTTCCACATTTTGTACCAAATTAACCTAAAGAAAGAAAGCAATCAGTGCAAAAATTATTTACTGGAGTTACACACTTTTCTTTCGGCATCTCTCTCCGCCATGGTTGTTTGTCCATATCTTTTTGGTGGACGTCCCGATTGTAATTTCGAATATTTTGTTTTATTCAATTTCACTTGTTCAACAGATTCTATTTGGGCTGCTCGTTCACTTTTGAATTTACCAATTATTGTTCGTTTCCATGCAAGCTAAAGGAGAGAAAAATAACATTATTATCATTGAAGAAAGATTTCTAAACCATACATACTACGGCATTATTATCTGATTTCGGAATTTTCAAACGTTCTGAAATACCATTTGATATAGATGAATATTCGTGAGGCTTTGGATACCTAAGCAAAACAAAAATGCTTACGAAAATTTCTCATTTTCGGATGAATTCTCACCATAGGCGATAATTTGTGACTAAATTGTTAAAAACTAAATCAGCTAACACTTGTCTGAAATTACAATGATTGGCGAATTTTGATAAATCATTTTTTTCTATTGATGTTTTTAATGGAACGGGTAATTCTGGGACTGAGTAACTTTCACCTAACTTTTTTCCTTCATCAGAAACTAAACTTGCCGTTTTTAAAGCAGCTATAATATCGTCACGTATATTATACTGAAGGAGAAAATCAGCATTTTCTAGAAAGTAGAAAATCGCCTTGAATTTCTAGATAAAAGATCGGTGTAGATTTTATGCAATAAGAAAAATCCCTATTGATTTTTGATAATTTGTGATTTTCTAACGATTTTATAGAAATCAATGTGACATTTTAGTCCTTGATTCGTTCCATATCTATCCATCTAACCTGTCACCATCATTCTCGTGATTGTATATTCACATTGACGTTTATATGTATACGAATGCA